TTCTCTTGCTCTTCCAGCCTGCTACTCTGGGCAGGCCTGAGTTGCCTCTCCTCACCTAATCCCTTCGGCTGACTGCTCTTCTCTCTGGCTTCCTGGTTTTTAATCCCCTTTCTCCTGCTCTTCCCGCTTGCTACTTTGGGCGTCCCTGAGTTGTCTCTCCTCACCTGTAACCCTGGGGCTGGGAATGAGTAGTTAAGGTAAAAAGGGGAATTAGATCATTCACAAAGAGGTGGCTAAGGAACAAGTCTCCTGAGAGCTAAAATCAAGTATTAAAAGTACCATCAATGTGGATCCTAGAATCACCAGAAATTATGACAAGAGTAGTGTTGGAGAGAATGGCAGTGAGGCAGGGGCTAAAACATTCATAAAATGAGGAGCAATTCAAGAGCTGGTAGACAACTACCACAAGAACTAGTGGGTGGTGTCATCTGAAGACATAAGACTCAAAGCTTAATGTGTTAGAAGAATGGAGGGAGTATGATCTGGAAGTAGCAATGAGAAACAAAGAGGACCATTTGCCTATGAACCAGGTGGTAAAAAGTATGTGAGAGAGAAAACAGCCACCACTTGAGAGAGCTTCAGGGAAGCACCATCATGAGGAGAGGCAGGTTTTAGGTAGAGCAAGAAGATGAAAGCAATAATCAACTCAAGACACTGAGGATCTAGGGAATTTTTTGATGATGACATTGAATTGTAAGAGGCATTTGTAAAAGGGTTTTAAGAAATGTATTCAGTACATTTTTAAAAAACATCTATGAAGTATGAATTTAGGTTTCTTACTGTGTAAGCTATTATTGTCCCTATTTTACAGATGAGGAAATTGAGGCACATAAACATTAAGTAACCTGCCAAGAACACACCACTCTTCACCCTACACACTCAATCACACACACACTGGCTACCTAACTAGGATTGTGACACATTTTAGTTTTCAATTCCTTCTGGCCATGTTTTTGGTTTTAATATAAGATTTCATTATTTTATTTAATTAATTTTCTTTTTCAAACCTGCAAGTTAACGTTGCCTTGGGTGAAGGGAAGGAGTTAGGGAAGGGGGTTTGAGCATACTTTAGCAAGGCTACCATTGCTCAAGGTCATCACATGTGGTTGGAGTGTGGTTGGGCCAATTTTGCATTACGTGGGGTTGTCTGGCTGACAGGTGAAAAGGGGTGAGAAACCAGCTAACGCTCTGCTTGCCAAGCTGTGTGTTTTGGCTTAGAGCGCATCTAGAGAAATGTCTGCCTTTTATCCTCATATTAAGACAGCATCTGCTTATCAATCCCTGACCCCACTGGACTGTGATAGCATAGAGGAAGTGTCTTTCTAATCTGTCCACCCCAAGGGATAGGCTATAGGCTAGCAGTAGTTCTAAATGGCCAGAGCAGTTTTGGAACTTATCTTCAGAAAGTATCATCAACACCAGTGGGAATATAAAATCACTCTTTAAGAATGGATTTGCTTTTTCAAAGAGTCAAAAATCATTTGCAGTTACACAAATAAGGTGGGTGGTCAAATGATGTTAAATACATTTCTGACCCAAACGTATTTCACAAAGAGAACTCTGTGATCCAGAACATTGCCACTGAATGAGCCACAATGCACAGCCAGAGACTGGCCATTTCTGATCATGAAGAATCTCTAAGATGTCTGAGGATTTTCTTAGAATGCCTGACAATGAAGCAGAAATACTGGGGTGGAGATCTGAGGGCAACAATTCCATCCCTGGGTCTGCCACAGTTTATTTGTGTGGTCCCTAGCAATTCATTAGGCCTCAGCTTCCTCATCAGTAAAATGTGTTTGTGTGTGTGTGTATGTGATATGTGTTGAGGATAGAGGAGGTTATATGAGGTGGTCTCTAAGCCCATTTAGCTCTGAGTTACTGCTCTTTGATTAACTAAATTATTTTAGGAATCAGAGAACCGCACAGGCATTTATTACTTAGGCATGGAATGTAGAAATTTATGTTCTCCTAGGTTTCAGGATTTCTTGGTGTGTTCCACTGTGGACACTGACACACATCTCATTATTAGGTGCTTACGTTCCTAATATCATTTTGTCTATCTCTCTTGAAATAGCAAGTTCTTAATGCTTCATTTCATCACTCAAGCTAATGATTACAAAGATACTCTGTATGTTTCAAGAGTTTATTTTTTTTTAACTTTTGTTTTTGATTATTGTAGGTTTTTTTTGTGTGTGTGGATATGAGTGGCTTTATTTAATTTCATGGGATACCTTCCCATCATATCTCTGAATGTACAAAATACCTTAACAGTTTCACTAACCCTGTAGGTTCATAGGCTGCTGCTTCATATATTGTGAGCAATTTTCTGCTTTCTTTATTCCTTTGGACCTATCAAATATTCTTGCTCTTCACATTGCTTAAGTCCTGTATGCTTCTTTAAAAACATATAAAATGTCTCACTTGCAGATTGGTCTCATGCTACATAAAATGTGGTATTAGTTCCAAATAAAATTCACTATTTTTCACTCTCTTTCTCTACCATAGCAGATAACCTAAAACTAGTCTTGAAAATATTGTCATTGCAATTTGAAGCATGATCCATCCAACATGCCCCTGATAAGATCCTTTTTCCTTCACATCTACAATTGCACAAGAATATCTGAATCAATACTGTGGAGCCACATCTGGGGTTCCAACACAGAGCAAGGATTGCCATTAGCATTCTGATGGCTTGGAGCTTTTTCACATTTGTTCCAGTTGCACAGCCTGCTGCTATCAGAATTCCCAGCAACAGTAGTCACTGCCTGGGAGGATTTCAGGAAGCATCCTGGCATTGTATTTATAAAATGGTGTAACTTTATGTTATCTCCCTACTCCATAGGTTTGTATCACTCCTGGTGTGATCTAAACCAGCTGATCTTCAGTGCCCAGAAAACTGGGCACTTAGGCTTCAGCCATAATAGCAACAATGATGTTAGGTGTATTGTTACAGTAGGATGTGATTCCAATAAAAAGATTAACATCCTCAAAATTCAGTCCTTGTCTCATTTACTCATGTGTCAAACATAATGACTCTATAGCCAATATTGCAAAAACCCCTAAGGAAAAATGTTTACATGACCTTGGTCTGCATTGGCTAAAGAAACACAACATCTTGTATCCTAATTTTAGTATATTCTTACATTACAAATAAACAAAAAGGCAGAAGACTATAACCATATTGTTCAAAATTGACTTTAAGGGAGCAATATAGTAATATTCACAAATATCAATGGCTCTTTGTAAAAATGTCAAATTACTGCACTTTGTGAATGCTGTTTCTGACACACAGGAACATGTGACATTTGTTATCCACTGTGGTCATTTCTGCAGCTGAACTCTGTCTGTAGTATCACCCTGAGAATGGCTTGGAACACATGTGAAAGCATATGCATCCACTTCCTACGTTGCCTGTCTTCTGATTTCCATCTGATTGGTTATGCCTTTAGGGCCTACAAAAAATTTAAAGAAATCAAAACAGTCCATGAAAGACAGAGTTATATAAATACTCCAAGGTAGGTTAAATATATAGCCAAAGAAAATTCAAAGAAACATGGACAGTCCTTTTCTTCATCAGGATTCCATTCATCTCACCCCCTCATCTTCAACAGCATAGCTGATACCTTCTCTAACAACAGTGAAACAAAACAAAACAAAAAAAATTGCAGGAGCAGCATGGTGCTTCTTTTGACCCCTATTCTGCTCACATGGTTTTAATTGCTCAAGGGCAATACAGGGCCCCAGCACTCACTTCAAAGGCCTTCGTCCAGTTCCCCTCCTTGATGTGCTTCACACACTCATCACACTGGTTCTGGAAGTACTTTCTCTGTCCTTCATCCACCAAGCCAATTTGGTAGAGGAATGCTGGATAGCCCCCTATAATCTGAGAAGAAAAGAGACAAACACAAACACCACAAAGAAAGAAAGGGGGAAGTTAGGGAAGCCCATTTGCTTGGTGCAATAACCCTTCCTTGTTGTAAATCTTGTGCTGTGATTAGCCACACAAGACAATTACACATGTACACATATACATACACACACACACACACACACACACACATACATGCTTACTGGCATCCATAACAAACCAAGCCCAACATAGTCAAATGACACCTTAAAACATTTAGTAAAAATTAGAAGTTTTAAGTCATTAGAAAGTCAGTTGAGCAATGGTATCTCCCTTTATCAAATGAGACCTCTTCCATCTGATTAAGAGGAATTCAATCTCTCTAAGACACAAAAACAGAAAGAAAAATGAGACACCTACTGATTCAGGGTCAGAATATGCATCTCCAATAGCAATTCCTTTCAAATTGATCTTCAGCTCTGCCGTGGGGTTGAGAGTATGGATGTAGTGCGCAATGGCGGGTACGTATTTCCCTGCATAAGACTGAGAAGGGCAGACATTAAAGTGGACAGTCACAAACTGATACCAGTAAATGATATACATTTAGCTTAATTAAAATGATAATGAAGCAGTAAAATATCCAGACGAGGTATACTGTCTATATCTTAACCTCACCTTATAAATTACACAAACAGAAATTTCACTTCTTTTGTAGTCTTAAACAACACCAAGCAAAATGCACGTCACATGGTACATGCACAAAAAATAAGTGACCATGTAATAAGTGAACATTCTCCTTTTCTTCCAAAATAAAGTAACATGAACCAGAAAATATAATTCTGCCACTCACTGGGCTTTACTTACAAGGAAGTTCCATTAAATGCTTTATTAAAGGAAGAAATTCTCAAGGTGTAAAATACAATTTCTAAATCTATATAACGACCCAAAATTGGAAATTAGCATGTATCAAAGTAATAGGAGAAGGACAAGGAAAATATTTATTAGCCACTGAGATTGTCAGTTAAACATATTTCAGTGTTCCTAAAACTTTTCCAGCACAAAGTTCTTTTTCAAGATCAAAACTGTTTGTGGAAATAGTTTTCCCCAAAAAATGTGATAATAGTTATACTTTTAGGATATTCTGGTGGGGGGAAGACTACTACAGATTCAATAATGATTATTTTGCATTTTTTCCCATCAATAGAAATGTCCACTTGGATTCCTAATATTAAATTCATATGTTCAAAATGAAGTTCCCAACCTCCAGGCCCTTCTGTAGCCTCCATTCCATTAAAGATAACACGGTTCTGTTTGCTCAGGCCAAACATCTTGGTGTCACCCTTTGTATTGATCTTTCTGTCACGTCCCACAAAAATCCATCAGCCAATTTGTCAGCTCTTCCTGTTGTTGCTAGCTGCCTTGCCCTTGATTCTGACTCATGGAGACCCCACGTGTGCAGACTAAAACTGCTCCATAGGGTTTTCAAGGCTGTAACCTTTAGCATAGTGGCTAAGACACTTGCCTGCTAACCAGACAGCTGGCGGTTCAAACCCACCAGCCACTCCTCGGAAGGAAGGTTGGGCAATCCTACTTCCGTAGTGATACTGCCTCAGAAACCCAAGGAGGGGTCGCTATGAGTCGGGTTAGACTCGACAGCACATAACAACAACAACAACAACCTTTTGGAAGCTGTTCGCCAGAACTATCTTCTGAGGCACCTCTAGATGGGTTCTAACCACCAAACTTTTGGCTAATAATGACACACTTAACTATGTGCACCAGCTAGGGACACCCAGCTCTACTTTTCCCATCAAAATATGTCTAGAATCCAGTGTGTTCTCCCAGCCCCACTTCATCGCCCTGGGCAAAGTCACCATCATCGCTTGCCTGGAGTACTGTACTAGCCTTCTAAATGGTTCCTTGCTTTGGCCCTTTGCCCTTTCCAGTCTATTTTCAAAACAGTGATCCTGTTAAAACACAGGTCAGACCATGTCATTCCTCTGCTCAAAAACTCTCCATTTCACTCAGAATAAAAGCAAGATGCTTTCTTGGACTCCTAAGGGCTATGCGATCTGGTCAGTTACTCAACTTCCTACCATTCTTTGAATACACCAGGCACATGCTCACCAGAGCCTTTGCCTGGAATGTTCTTCCCCATATGTCCATATGGCTAGCTTCCTCACTTCCTTAAGTAAAGCCTTCTGAGGATTGCCCTCCCCGGCCACCCAATCTAAAACTTAAAATTTTTTCTTCCTTTGGTATTTTATATTCCCCTTCTCTCCTTTTCTTTCCCTCTTAATCCTTATCCCTTTCAAATAAACTATATTATAGTGTGTATTGGTATTCCCCCATTCAACCCACACTAGAAAGTAAGATGTATGTTTGCCTATTTTGTTTATTACTATGTCCCTTGTGCCTAATGCTGCTTATTTTTCAGTGCTCAATAAAGTTGTTGAATAAATGAATCTACCTGCATTGCACATCTGTCCATAATCGAGTACAAGATTGTCTAAACACACATGAGGAGCTGTGGTAGTGCAGTGATTAAGGCATTTGGCTGCCAACCAAAAGGTCAGCAGTTTGAACTCACCAACCACTCTGTGGAAGAAAGATGTGGCAATCTGCTTCTGCAAAGATTTTCAGCCTTGGAAACTCTTTGGGGCAGTTCTACTCTGTCCTATAAAGTCACTATGAGTCGGAATGGAGTCAAGGCAGTGGGATATGCTGGGGATATCATTATTCTCGTTTTAAGATGAAGACATCAGCACAGAGAAAGGTTAAGTGGTAGAGCCAAAGCTCAAACCTAGTCTGACTCCAGAACCTAAATTTCTTCTAAGTTACGATAAAGAATGTCATTTTAATAATTTATGCTATATTCTATCAATGATGCAAACTGCTTGTACAATAATTATTATTTAGGTAAAGTATTGAATCAAAACAACGTTATCTATTCATACTCATGAACACATTTTAGCCTCTGAATGGTAATATGGGAGCACTCAAGTAGATTCCGGCTCATAGTGACCCCATGTGACAGAGTAGAACTGCCCACCAGGGTTTTCTTGGCTATAGTCTTTATGGAATCAGATTATCAGGTCTTTCTCCCTTGGCATAGTTGGTTGGGTTTGAACAGCCAACCTTTTGGTTAGCAACTAATCTCTTAACCATTGTGCCACGAAGGGTCCTTAATACTAACACTGCCACTCATCTGTCAGTTTGTCATACTGTGGTGGCTTACGTGTTTACTATGAGGCTGGAGGCTATGACATTGGTGTTTCAAATACCAGCAGGGTCACCCATGGTGGACAGGTTTCAGCAGAGTTTCCACACTAAGACAGACTTGGAAAAAGGAAGGGGCCATCCACTTCTCAAAGAATTGGGCAGTGGAAACCTTATCAATAGCAATGAAATACTGTCTGATATATTACCAGAAAACTTTATGAATAAACCTGAAACACTGTCTGATGTAATGCTGGAAGATGACTCCCTCAGGTCAGAAGGCACTCAAAATATGACTGGAGAGAGCTGCCTCCTCAAAGTAGAATGGTAATATACAGATCTGTTTATACATCGAAAATTTGGTTGGTTGCATAACTATGCTATATCCTCTTGGAAAGGACAAGAAGTGAATGTTTATCAAATATAATTTCTGCAAGATGGCAAAAAAAAGAAAATTTACCTAATTTTTTCACTGTTAAAGATGACAATAAAGACAGATACAGTCTTCATTCAATGATGGTTTATTGTGTAAAGGCATTATGCTAGATACTTTAGGAGAAACAATAATGAATAAAGCACAAAACTTGCCCTTATTAAGCTGCAATTTCTTTTGAGAATACAGTATGGAAATCTTGACTCAAACATGAAAAAGCGAAGTGTACCATTTCATAAATTATCCTCATAATGTTTACATTGCTTAGTCCATAGTTGGTACACAAAAACATATTTGATTAGTTGAATGACTTGTCTGTCATTATTTCTAAGCATTTTTTTCTTTATTGCAAATTGGTGCAAAATGCTAAAAAGTATCTATTCCAGTGATGTTGTTGTTGTTGTTATGTGCCATCAAGTCAGCCCAGACTCATAGCGACCCCTCCTTGGGTTTCCGAGGCAGTATCACTACGGAAGTAGGATTGCCCAACCTTCCTTCCGAGATTCCAGTGATAGTATCACTCAAATTATCTTACTATAAGACCTGGTAATAAAATATCTCCCTTGGTTCTTTCTGAAATGGAAGGACATGTATTTTAAATTGCCATACAGGTAGTGATGACATCCTTATTCTATGGTACTTTCCCCCTGTGACCATCATATGTATCTGAGATATATCCAGAGATATCTGAGATATATCTGAGATATTAAGGAGGAGCATCCACTCATTATTTTTAGAACATCTACTATGAACCAGGCTATTTCACCTATTTCAGTTCTCACAAGAGCCAGTTTAAGGTAAACAAGTTTTTCATAATTTCCGTAATGATGAAAACAATGCTTTATATAAGGATCTCTGGTGGTTAACACATTTGGCTACTAACCAAAAGGTCAGTGGTTCAAACCCACCAGCCATTCGGTGGAAGAAAGATGAGGCAGTCTGCTTCCATAAAGATTTACAGCCTTGGAATCGATTTGATGGCAACGAGTTTGTTTTGTTTTGATGTGTTTCATCCATAATGCTAGCTGGAATTTGATCTCAGGCTTGGCTGCCCCCACACCTCATTGTGTCTCACATCTAGTCACCCTTTAGCCAGTGGTCCTGGAATAGACTATGTGTCTCTGGCCGCCAGGCTGAGATCCAATGTTGAGTTGATCCACACCACTCTAAGTTGACCATTTATGAAAAATAATTCAATGAATTGGGTAGCTCTATAATCATATCCAAAACCAGATTCTGCAAAGTTCAGTATGCGAACACTAATCTAATGATGGAGCTCTGTTAGCATAGTGCCTAAGGCACTTGGCTGCTAACCAGAAAGCTGGCGGTTCAAACCCACCAGCCAGCCACTCCTTGGAAGAAAGACTGGGCAATCTACTTCCGTAGTGATACTGCCTCAGAAACCCAAGGAGGGGTCACTATGAGTTGGGTCTGACTCGATGGCAAACAACAACAATCTAATGATGATGTTTACTTCAGTGTTTATTTCTAATGACTATCACACACTTCTTTGCCTTCTGTCACTGTGACAAATCCTTCCCTATCATTTTCATTAATCATTCCATTGGTCGAGTGACTCAAGCTGTCACACAGTAGACAATTATGGGATTACTTTATGGAAAACAGATACCAGAACATTATAATGAAATTTCAATTATTTTCACTCTCCTTGTTGAGACATAGCTTGTTTTTGCAAGATCAGACTTATTTATTCTTCTTGAATCATTTATTTCTCCACTTACAGATTCTCTGACCACCACAAGCACTTTACAAAATGACCTGACAATAAATCAAGTATGTTTTATTTTACCTCATTTTCCCTTTTCTGTATGTTTTAAACAGAATAATAATAATAAACCAAATGCACTGCTGTGGAGTCAGATCCGACTCA